ATATTTTACGTCATTTCATTGGTTGAAAAGACACCAAATATATTTCGCTCGAATTCGTCACCGATTTCGAAGCTTGACATTTTCCGAGATGAAGCTCGTAGCCGCCGCCACGACGGTCGCTGCGCTCGCGCTCGCCGTCGCCGAGACGCTCCCGGCCTGCTCGCCCGACGCCGAGGTGGCGATCACCAACACGACCAGCACGCCCAACGCGACCCTCTGTGCCAAGGCCGAGCTCAAGTCGCTGGGCACGCCCGAGTCGATCACGAACCTCTTTGCCTCCAAGATCCCGTCGAGCCTTGCCAAGGCGATCGTCGCCAACGTCAACTGCCAAGGCTGGTACTCGGAGTTCACGGCGGTCCTTAAGGCGGCCGGCAACTGCGCGTTCGGCCCGATCTCGGCGCCGGCGACAGCGAGCATGACGCTGGCGCAGTTCCTTCAGTTTAGCAACACCAACAACACCGAGTCGCCGGCCTCGACGACGCCTGCGGCCACGACCAAGGTGTCGCCTACGTCGGCGCCGACGCCAACGACTGCCGCGCCGACGACCGCGCCGTCCTCGGCCGCGACGCTCTCGGTGGCCGCGGCGCTCGTCGTCGTCGCCGCCGCTCAATTTTGCTAAGTAATACTCTGTGTCGAAGGCTCTACCACAGCTTCTGCGCACACTCGTCGCCAACCTCAAAGACGTTTGGATGCTGTCGTTATGTTCTGTCTTGTGTGCACAACGCAGAGAAAGGACGTGGTACCGTAATAGTGTGGGCGGCACGGCGACCGCACTGTCTCGCTTGCGGCGCTACTGCTGCTTCGACATGCAACGATGACTCTGCACTGCGTACTAGCACAAGACGTCCTGCATTGCCTGCGGGCTGGCATTCTCTTGGACATAGATCGGGCTGCCTCTGGGGCTGGTTCAACGTGCTTCAAGGTCCAGGACAAGTGCTAAACGAGGTCTACTGTAGAGAGTTACACATAAGGCTACGACACTAGGTCTTAGGCTGGAAGCCGCTCGACGAGGGCGCTGTAGAGCTCCTTGAACTGCGCAAAGGACCAGCTGCCAAGGTTCTTGTAGCGTGTGTCGGCCTTGTCAAGCGTGCATACTGGTAGCTTGTCGCTGTTATACACCACGGCCAGCTTGGCGTATAGCGTCTCGCACGCAGGGCTGCTCAACAAGGCCTTGAGCGTCGGCGCGTTGAGCTTGGCGATCCCTTGCAGTGGCGCGTCGGCCATGCAAGCGGTGACCGACGGGTCGTTCGTGAGCGCGACGAGGCTGTTGTGAAGCTCGTGCCAATCAACGTCTTCGCAGCGAGGGACCTTCTTGTCTGTGGCAGCAACAGCAAGGACGAGCAGAAGCAGCGTACCGACGAGCCAGCGGATGATGCTACACGACCTGGTCATGGTGCTGGGAGCTGATGTGTTGAGTGTCAAAGTCCTTGTTTGAACCGGCTCGTATCCTAAATAGGAATAGTATCAGATGCAACTAGGCAAGACAAGGCAAAGCCCAGTTTTGGCAGCAGCAGCTGGCAGCAGCAGCATCGGTTTGGAGCTTGGGCTGGGGTGCGACCAAAGCTACGGCAGCTAGTTCATTCCCCCAGCTCTACGCACAGCAATTCGCTGCAACGTGCCTAGGCTCCCATAGTCAGCAACTGCACGCGAATATCCCCTCAACAACTGGTCCAATTCCAATTCCATTTGCACAAGCAGCTCGGTCTCGAGCCCTCATTTCACAACAAATGAGACGTCATGAAAAGAACCAAGACGCGTGTTACGGGGGCGATAACAAGCGCGGGATGACCTCATGGAACATGTAGTCGCGCAGCGTATCGAAATTCCACTTGGCGAGGTGCCGACGGGTTGTGCCACTCGCATCGAGCCGGCACGTTGGCATATTCGGGTTGTCGTAGATCGTAGCCGAGAGGTTGTTGAAAAGCGCGCGGCAGGAATGACTGTTGAAGAAGGCGGTCCACTGGTCGCCGTTCAGCGGCGCCGACGACGCGAGAAACTCAAAGTCTGTCACACCGGCGTCGACCATGCACGGTCCCAGCGATGACATGCGCTCGATGCCCTCAAAGAATGCGTCGAGGTTGAGGTCGTCGCACCTGGGGAGCGGCTCGGCGGCTGCGGTGGCCACAACCGCAAGCAGCAGCAACACCCGCGCCATCTCGTTGTTTTCAACTGATGCTTCTGCTGTCCCTGTCGCTGGAACGGCAATGTGGCGCGAGCCACCGCATTTTAAAACAAGTGATATATCACATACAAACTACAAGTCAATGTTGAAAATAATAATGCCCGTCATGGGTCGGACAGAGGGACCGCCATTTCCTTATCTAGTACCTTGATCCCCACCCACACAACACGCCAGTGTCAAGGTCCATGTGAACAGTACAGCAGCAACCTCGGGCTCGAGCCAGCCACGCAATCACAGTGCGACCAAGCCAATGCTTTCAACGTGCTTGCAGAGAGAGTGCAAGATATTGAACATTAAGAGTCACTGGAGTGAGAGCAAACGCGGATACTTGATTTGTATGTACACAAACAATTAGGCTAGTTAGCGTCACTAGAGTCGGACAAGTAGGTAGTCTTTACAAGGCGATCGTAGCGTTGAGCATTGCACGCTTGAGCTGGTCAAAGGTCAGCGCGCCCAGCGCCTTGATGTCCAAACCATCGGAATTGAAGGCGCAGGACGCTGGAAAAACCTCGCGGTACACGCGCGTGACCTCGTTGAAGACCTTTTCGCAGTCGGCGCTCGCAAAGAAGGCGGCGACCTGGGCGCGCGTCGGTGCCAAGAGCGTCATCTGAAGGAAGATGCGGTCCGTCATGTTGGCCGCCCGCATACACGGCAGCAGCGACGGGTGGGACTGGATCGACGCAAAGTAGTTGCCGTAGAACTGGTCGCTCTGGCAGCGCGGCAAGTCGGCGGCGAGAGCGAGTGCGACGACAAGCCCCAGGAGAAGCCTCAGCACACCCATCTTCTTCTTGGCTTGTTTATGGCAAATACGCTGGCGTCGAGCCAGTTTGCATTTTGGCCAATCACCGCCCGCGCCTCCTACCATCTATATCCAGCCACCGTTGTGGCTTGCAAGTCTTTTTTGAAAAGCATCGTCCTGCACGTACATACCCGGTACGTCGTCAAATTAGCAACGATTCTTTATGTACACAATGTACTTCATAGTGCTCCAACCGCGATTTGATAGGGTTGTACAACCCGGTTGATGAAGGCCGAATCCAAAAAAAGTTTCATTGGCTGAAATAAAGCTATTTTGAACCAATTGGAATACTTTTCAAATTGCAGTGGCGGCCGCCGAGACGCTCGGATCGCCAAATCACGTTTGGAAATGAAATCGCCCGTACTTGGCCCATCGACAAAGCGTACTTGCTAGGTAAGGATAGGTGTGTCCACGCCGCCATCAGCCGCCTCTAACGGGTCCTATGCTCGGTCAAAGATTTGAGTCGTTGATTGGTCAAATATAGTAGCATTTACACCAATGGCAAGTGGGGAAAGAGAGCCAACGCGCATCAGTGCTGCAGCGACGCGTAAAGATTGCACGTCACGATGCCGGGTCACGTCCCTGCAGAGTCGCGAGGCTCCTCCTCGACGATGGCGACATCGATGTTAAAAGGTCTAATCCTCCCCACGAGGTCGCCGAGTGCATGGGGACAGGCAGGCACCTACCAGCACTGACAAAGTGGCTCCAACAACAACGACTACTACAAGCATAATTACATTTGATTCACAAATACACAGACTAGAGGTTGAACGACGTCATCCATCCATGGCCAGCTTGGCTTGTCAGCAGTGCATGTTGCAGCTCGTCAAAAGTCTTGTCGCCGAATGTCTTGATGGATGTACCGGCGCGGTCAATGGCGCAATGAGGCATGTCCTCGGTGAACACGCGAAGAAGCGCTGCGTACAGAGTTCGGCACGAGCTGCTGTGGAAGAAGTGCTGAAGCTGCGCCTCGGACGGCGGCTCGTTGGACGCGAGAAAGTCCACATCGGCCATGTCGGCATCGCGCATGCAGTCCTCAAAGGATGGCTGGTCGTAGAGCGGCGTGAAGAAACTGTTGATCTCTTCCATCATCGCGCAGAGCGGGAGGCCGTTCGCGGCTGTCGGTACCGGCGGCGGCGTTCCCTTTTCGTCGCCACTGACGAGGCTGCAAAGCGTCAGGACAATCACGACGACGGCGTCCATTTCGCAAATGAAAGACCGGATCGCGCTGGAGACGCGAATTCGCCAATGCAAGGTGCCTTGCCCCGTTACATGCGCGCCGTACGCCGTAGTTATCCTGCGTTTATGAGGCGTCATGTACTGTCCAAGCGAATTGCCGCGCACACGTGGCAGCGCACGCGTTTCTCAGAACGGCGCCGTCTCATGGCCACCTTGCCCTTTCTACACAGTGCAGGCTTGGAAGGATGGTGCTGAACAACGGAGCACGTGCGTCTACAAGTATTAGGTAGTGTCCCCAGCAGCTCTCAATATGCTAGCAGCTCTCAATATACAAGCAGACCATATCGTCTTCGACTCCTCTTGTACTGGGTCGTACATACAAGGATTTCGGTCCAGCAAGAGAACTCAGCAAGGGTTGCTGCCCTTTTTAATTTCGGCATATGCCTAAAAGAGTGAAACCAGTCGTGCCAGATGGTGCACTGGCAATCCGTAGCAATCGGCAATCGGCAAGTCTAACATGGCGCGGACTGCGAGCGTCGCAGCCAGCGTACTCGTGCTCCTCGCGTGGGCCGCCGCCGTGCCCATTTGCTCAATGGGCATGTTCGTCGACGTTGCCAGCGTCATGACCAGCTCGCGCAGCTTGGCGCCGTGCCTTCGCGCCTGTGGCGTCAGCTTTGCAGAATACAACGCGGGCCAGTTTCCAAGCGACGCGCAGTGGCAGCGTACGCCCACCTCGCTGCACATCCACGGTGTACTAATAGCACAGTATCACGATAGGTTTTTCCGTCACGCCCGACTGCCAGGCCTTTTACGCAGAGCTCAAGTCGACCTTCGCAGCACTCGACGAGTGCATTGTCCCGACGGCCAATGGTCCGCTGAACCTCCACCACTTGGAGAACGTTCCGATCGAGACGCTTCTGCGCTTGACGTACCCAATTGCGCACCCCAATTACACGCAAACGAACGCCACCGCGCCGCCATTGCACGCGGCCTCCTGGGCCACACGCCACTTACTAGACACCGGGCTCGTGGTGGCCATTGTGATGCTCGTACTACCACTAGGCTAGCACTGTGACTACGATTTCGCGCCTGCTTTGGATGGCGCGTCATGTATGTTGTCAGCGACTTTGAGAGCATATATATATCAACGTATTTCGCGTTATCTTCCATACAAAGAGTTCGCACACGTAGGGCTACGCCTGAATACGTGGGAGTTGGCACCACCATTCGGTCGTTGGGAGTGAGCTGCGCACGGAGAGATCCATCCTGTGGTAGAACTAAGAGCATATAGAATCTTGAATATGTGAAGGCAAGGCCCGCCGAGAGTCAAGGCTCAATCGCAGTTCTCGTCTCTTTCCCAAGTACCTCGCCAGACGTCATGGCGATGTGCACCGTGACTTCTCGGGTTTGAAAGAGTTGATGTTCACACAAACGATTAAATTAAAGACTTAATGGAGAGAGAGCAGTGACTGAAAGCCTTTGCTGCTCAACGCAGCGGACGGCGAAGATTCTGCAATCGAATCTTGCGGGGTCGGTGCGAAGAGCGTCTCCACGTCAGCGTCATCGTCACTGACCGCCGTCATTTCGTCCACGTCGTCGCTTGGAATCTCGATTGCGTCATCGATGATGTCGACCGGCTCGCCCCAGTCGTCAGTCACTTGGTCGTCGTCCTGCCACACAGCGACCAGGGCAAGCGCCTTGGCACTTGCGTCGGCGTCGAGCACACCAATGGCATCCGACCACGCATCGTCCGTTGAAGGGACAGCATCGACTTGTGCGTCGGCGGCAGGGAGTGCGATTAGAGCGTGTGGAGAGGTGGCCACGGCGTCTGGCTCGTCACCGGTGTCGACGAGAACATCCTTCGACCCATCGAGGCCTTTGTCCGCCGCGACGACCAGCGACACCTGCTCGACATCTGCCGTCCCTTCGGCATCGTTCGACAACGTCGCACCATCATCGTTGAAGTCCCCGTCACGGACACTGGCACTGGCGTCGCCCTTGTCCGTACGGACGTCACCATCCGCGGTCTGGAGCACAAGGTCGGTATCCATGTGGTCTGGCGTCACGGTCATCTCCATTTGCACGTCATCCTCGTCCGCGTCATCTTCGTCTGCAACCGACGACTCGACAGGCGCGTCGACACTCTCGGCGCGGTCCTTGCCATCGAGTGCCGTCTCACGACGCGGCAGGTCGACCATGGCTTCAACAGCGAGGACGGCTTGGACGCTTGTACTGGCCGTCGTGCTGGCTTCGGTGCCGTCGGTGACGGAATCTCCGTCGCCGTCAACGTCGACGAACGTCGTGACCACGGCAGAGTCGTCCAAAGGGGCATCGATGACGTTCCCCACCGTCGGCACACTCTCCATCTCAATCTCAACTGGCGTCGATGGCGCCGTGACGACCGACCGAGGCACGTCACCGAGGTCTTGCGACAGGTAACGCGCTAGAGCGTCATAGCTGACTGGCACGTGGCCGGTCCCGACACCAAGTGTTGCGAGCCAAATCGCAAGCATGGCAAAAACCGCCGCCTTCCAGAAACCCGACGACGTCGATGGCAGCGCTCGGGCTTTGGCAGGCGTCGTAGCAGGCGTCGTGGTGGCAGGCGTCAAGGCAGGCGCCGGGACCGGACGCGAGGTCTCGAGTGTCGACAGCATGGTCCGCTGCAGCTGGGCAAAGTCGCCCATCGCAGCCTTCACCGAGGCTTCAATCTTGTGCGCGTCCATCGACCCCCGGCGCGGCGAGCCTTTGGGCGCCGCCATCGTCTTGAGCTGCTCGACGATAAGGTACTGCGTGTGCTCGGTCTGGTTCATAAACGCCTGCAGCGAGCTCTGGAGGAGCGACACGTCGTCCTGGGTGTCGTGCGACTGGTTGTTGGACGTCGAGACGGCTAAGAGCGCGTGCTTGAGGTGATCGCGCTCGGCGGCGACGCGCTGCGTGGCAGCAATCTGCGTCTTGAGCATCTCGTTCTTGATCATGTGTTCGTTCTGGAGCTCCTTGATGACGTCTTCCATTGTCTTCAGCTGTGCTTGGACCTTCATGACGACGGCCGCCATCTCCATTTCGTGCTTGCGCATCTTCATGCGCGAGAGCGAGTCCGAGATCTCGCTGCTGACAGCGAGCGCGCGCGGGTACGAGTGGTCGCGCAGCGCCTTGCCAATGTTCTCGGCCGTCAACGGCGGCATCTCCCATGGCGCGTCGAGGCCACTTAGCGTCGTGTCCGAGCTGCACTCGGCCAGTGCGTCGTCGTCCAAGCGCAGGCTCGAGCCGGTCGTCGAGCGCGCAATGCCGATGGGCTTGCTATCCGTCCCCGACGACCGCGTCGAGGCCGGGCTGCGCTGCGGCGGCGCCGCCTTGTCGTCAAAGTCGGCGCCGAAAAAGACTTGCTTGCGGCGGTACAGCGGCGTCTCGCGCACGAGCGGGTCGTCGTCGTTCTCGTCGACGGTGCTCGAGGTCGTCGAGGTGCTGGAGCGCGTGTTGCGGAAGAGCGGCGAGTGCAGCCGACTGCGCGCACTCACGACGTTGGCCTGGCGCGTTCGGATGCGTCCACACGTGTCGACCATAGTTCTGCAGAGGTGGAGGTAGGCTAGTGGCAGGTCGGTGGGCCGCGCAGCGAGCCGGCCAACTGGAAAAATACAGAAATGTTGGACGCCGGGTCGTGGCGAATGGCCGCGCCGACGCTCCTTACCTTTCGTTTCAACGGGATATGCGTTATTAGAGGTTTTTAAGTCTCATTCCTGACACCTTGTACCTTTGCAATCTCTGGATCCAGCATGTATAGCCACAGGATATGCATTCTGGAAGGCTCTTGGTGGGCCGAGGTGCTCTAGTAAGTACGGTTGAAGTCAATACAAAATACAACCTATTGAGCTCCTGCAAGGTCTGGCGTACAAAAACCAAGCTTAAATTGATTAAGTGCGCTTTGACGAAACGCTGCCGTCTCCATGCGCCACGTGATGGGCCGGTCTTTACCTCCAACTGAGGACGTGCGAAGAGCATAATGGAGCAAGATGGAAGCAAGCAAGGAGGAAACACCCTCGTACAACGACGTCGGTGGCGAGATGGATGAGAAATACCGCGGTAACGGACTTGTCGACTGACGGGAAGAGTTTCAGGATGTCTGTCTTTGATGGGTACTGAGAGAATTGTCAAAAAGGTCGTTGGCAAGGCGTGGTCCCAGCACACAACGATCATCGTCGCGTCATCGTCGCGTCGCAACCACAGACGGCTTGCATTATGGAACGACCGCAAGGTGCGATGGTGCCACCCTTGGTCTTAAAATATATTTTGATGTCGAGTCCGCTCGGGCCACAAGATGTCGTTTCGACGACTGCATCGAGCCGCGAGCTTGACCGAAAAGGGCGGATCGTTGGTCGATGCATTGGTTGTTTGATGTTGCTTGAGATGAAACCTTGATGTCGTCGTCTCCGCTTATGACGGATCTTGTCTTCTTCGCCCACTTCTCACTCGATTCAATACATGATGTCGCCAAAGTTATCTCGCTGCAATATGAATCAAGAGGGCAACTTGGTAGCCCAGTAGCTGCGGCTAGTACAGAGGACCTTAAAATGTCTGATCGACACTACCCACGAGTGGGAGTGCGCAAGCACGTCCGGCGTCGGTCTCAGTCGCTAGCCCGTGCTCTACCATTTGGTCAACCATGCAGAGCTGCCGGCAGTGGTCAGCACAAGCAAGGGAATAACTATTTATTCCCTTGGCACAAGCCACCGAGCTGCAAACATCCTCTCCATCTCATCGCGAACGAATCGAAGGTCTCTATGCACAACCAAGGGAATAATAAGAACAAATGTCTTATTACATGGTATGAAACAACACGACTACGTGCGTACGTCTGGTGTTTACCGTCGACGACAGTTCTTGGGTAGTCGTTAATCAAGTGGGAGACGGCGATAATCTGATGAAAGAATATATAAATGGGAAGGTGCGGGGACTGCGTATCCAGCAATGGATGGTCCCTGGGGCGACTTCTAAGAAGCCTTACTTTGAAAGAAGTGTACTTGTACCGCTCGCAGTTTGCCGAGCCATCCTTGAACTCCTCTGGCCTAGATCCTCTTACATGGTCTTATTCCCTTGTTCACAACAGACTTGGATCTTGACGGACGCAGCTTGGTGCGAGGTATCCCCATATTACGACTACAATATGTACCACCAAAACAGTGTCAAGCAAAGCAAACGCAGTATCGTCTATTGGTTCGCTGCGTGCTTTGTCAAGGCGTAGTTGGCCTGGATCTCCTTCTCGGTCGCGCAGCTCCAGCCGGTGGGGCGGCAAAACCGACGCAGCGCTGCGTGCGACTCGGGGATATCGGCGGCCTCGACAAGCCACGTGTCTGAGTAGTCGAACGCGGGGCTCACGGCCTCCGAGACAAGGCCAAAGTTAAGGGACGAATCGAGGACCTCGGCGCCCTTCCACCAGCCGCCGGGGCACGTAAACTGCAGCACGTGGCCGAGGTGGACGTCGGGGCCAAGGACGAGCTCAGTTGTCTCGAGCGTCGCGGGGTTGACCATGACGTACCGAATCGCGCTGCCAGCTTGCCAAAAATGGGCAATTTCCGACCGGTTGACGTGGATAAACATGACGGGGGCGACCATATAGAAGATGGTCGAGAGACAGCCGCGGGTCGGCGGGCCGTCCCAGCCCGGCGTCGCCATGAGGTTCGTCGAGCGGTGCTGGACCGCATAGTACCCGTTCTCTTCCGGGTGCGGCAGCATCGGGATGTGCTTAATGTAGTACGCGGCGTCGCGGCTCATGGGAAAAGGCGGTGGTAAAATCGAAACTGAACGCGCTCCAATAAACACCACCGACCACCAGCTGGTCCTTCTGGCTGCGATGGGTGCGAGGACTTCCCAGGTAACTCATCCAGGCGCAAAGGCCAGCGCCGAACACGCCGCCGTCGGCGCGATTCGTGATGTGACGGTAGCGACCACTCGACTCGGGCCGCAACAACGACGATCGAGGAGCCGTTACATCGACGACAGCTCTTCGCAGTCAGTCGTCCAACAGGTGCCACGTGAGCAGGTTGCACTACCGGTACTAGTGCGTGGGCTTTGCCAGGCCACCAGCCTATATAAACAACGTACAGATAAGGATTAGCTAGCATATACAATATAGGCTGCGACCAAGGCCAAGTTGAGCCTCTCGACGGCCAGACGCTGCGTCCGCCAGGTGCAGGAAGCTCGTCTTCTGAACGGATCGTCCTCTGAGCAGATCGTGGCGCGCATGTTCCAGTACACTATCGACGCGTTGCCAAGCCATGCATCACCAATAGGCTGCCATACCCGTACGACAACAGTCACGATCGTGGTTTCTATCAAATTACACTACTCATCACTCGCACCTATCGTGCTCGGCGACAGCTAGGACAAAGTTGCGGACCAGCACGGTCAGCTCGAGCGTCGTCGGTCGCTGCGTCGGGTCGAGCGACAAGCATCGCGTGCCGACGTCCAGCAGCCATGGTGGTGCCGCCGCCGCAAACGTGGGTCGCAGTGCACCGGATGCGACTTTGGACAAAATGGCTTGCTGACTCAGCGCTCGGCCGGACGACGCATTGAGCGCGTCGCTGTAGGGAACCTCGTGCGTACTCATTTCGGACAAGATGACACCTACAAATTTTTTGAAAATCCGACAAATCCGACAAAAATCCGACAATATCCGAGCGTACCAAACGAGTAAATGTCGGCGGCCACCGTATACTCGGTGCCAAGAATGACCTCGGGCGCCATCCACTGGAACGTGCCAATGCCGTTCGTGAGCGTCTTTTGGTCGTCGAGGATGCGGGACGTGCCAAAGTCGCTGAGTTTCGTGCCAGTCTTGGAATCCAAGAGCACATTGCGCGACTTGAGATCGCGGTGGATGATCACGGGCTCAAACGTGTGCAAAAAGACGAGCCCGTACACGACGTTCTCGAGGATCAACGCCTTCGTCGCCCACGACACATTGTCCACAGTCGACGCGGCGAGGAAGCTGCGCAGGTCGCCGAGGTCGCAGTACTCGACGATGGCCTCCATGTCCATGAGGCGGCGCCAGCGCACGCCCAGCAAACGGACAATGTACGGGCTCTCGAGCCTACAACCATTGCACGACCGTCAAGAAAAATATGGATCGCATCGGAGGTAGAGACGTGTGGAGGAGCAGAATTTCGTGGATAAACGCGTGGACGGAGGTGGGCGAGGGGTGCTTGACGCGCTTGAGAGCGACCGTGGTGTGGGCGTAGATCCCGCGCCAGACGTCGCCGTACGCACCAGACGCGAGTGGCTTGGTGCCGCAGAGAACGATGGCGTCGGCGTCAATCTGGAGCATTTGGAGCGTTGCCATCTCGTTTGGTCGCAGCGTCGACGCGAGGTAGTCGTCGTCGGCCGATCGACGGGTTGTGGCACATGTCTTGCTCGTGTAGTAGAGACATGAAATGATGCTAGCAATCACGAGCAGCGAGCCCGCGATAATGAGGTAAATGTTGAGCTCTACACATTGTTGTGACGATGGACGCGTCACGGTTTTTAGACCCACCCCAAAGTTGCAGATGACTGCGATAGGATATCTCATCGGAGATGACACACGCCGTGTACTGGGGGTAGGCGTCCCAGAGAGGCATCACGCGTATGTTCTCGCCCACGCAGAGCCCGCTCTCAAGCCTTGGGACGCGGAAGCTCGAGGTCGGATGGAGGCGCTGGAGCGCGCGAAACGATGTGGTGTCGAGGTGCGCAGTCGTGATGTTGCAGTTGGGACAAGTACTAGAGGAAAACTATCAACGCGAGTGAGAGGACTTGAGGCATCGCACAAATGTTGAAGGCGGTTGGAGAGCCGCCATTTCTCGAGTTTGGTGACGCCATACAACTCCCTAAACACACAAATCTCAGTGCCCATCAGCTCTGAAAAAGCCAAGCTGTACAGTCGTTCCAGGCTGGACAGGTCGCGCTTGAAGAAATAAAGGTCGCTGACCAGGTCCAAGTGCCTGCCGTACCCATGAGCATGTCAGTTTGATCCTTATCCAGTCGTCGTACAGGTAGGTTAACGTGGGCGGAAATTCATTGTCTAGCGAGACGCTGCCGTTGGCAATGAACCTAGCAGTACCGAGAGACGTTATTGTGCATTGAATGATGTTGTTGACGTACAAATCGCAAAGGCGGCGCATGCGCAACGTGTAGAGAGTGACCCTCGTGGTCGAGTTTGAGAGCATCCTACATACTTCCGAGTCATTTCTCTACATGTGCACCTGGCACGACAGACAAGCGCTCGAGGCCTCTGGGAACGGGGACGTTGTACAAGGTGTCCAGGGTATAGACGTCGAGCCATCTACTCTTCGTCGTCCATGAAGAAATTCCAATTGCATTTCACGACGGACAGCGAGCGAAGATCGGCCGGCAGCTGCCGGTACTTGTGCGTCAGATGACGCTCTTGGACGTTGACCAATGTGCTATGCAGAACGTTGGCTCAGCAAGAAATAATGGTAGTCGCGCGAACAGATTGGCCAGAGCGTGGTGCGAGAGGTCACCGAGGAGATAGCCCGCAGCAAAATCAAAGCGCGTCGCGTTCGCCGGTAGGGTCTCGACAACCGAGCAGTTGCGACCAAGCACGCACGCTGTCGCGCACGAGCCGTCGTTGGTCAAGATGGTCTCGCCATCGCGGAGGTCGTCGTACTTGCAGGCCATTCGTGAATGGCAATCTGGTCCGGCTTTTCGAACCAGATCTCAAATGTGTCAAAATTTCCCAACAATCAGACTGTAAATGAGAAAGTACTAAGATATTGTTCACATATGAGACATATTCGAGAAGCGGAAGGCGCGCTTCTGGGTGACAGACAGTCGGACAGCATCACGACGTCCTTACGACGGTCGAGACCTTGCCACATGCAGACAGTGTGTGGATACAACGACCTCAGCGCCCAGCAGCGCGTGCTCGTGGCCGATGGCTCGTGCGGCGCGTCGGCGACCTGCCTTCTCGACCGGGACTGCGCGGTCGCCATGGTCATGCCAGTCAACGCAACGCGGTTTGACCTCGAGAGCACTTGGCTGCTCGGCGACCTCTCGCGGTACCCGCACGACACGCTGTACGTTTATGCTTGGTCGATATTGTCATTTCAAATGTGGACCTAGAGAACTCGCGCAGGTGCAGAGCGCCACGAGTCTGCATGCGTATCTGCAGTTTCCCGTGGTTCTGCGCGCCTTGTAGGGCGAGTAGGATGTGGTAGAACGAAGAGCTCATGCGTCTGCGTATAGAGTGTTTGAGCAGGCAACGATTGACGCCGAGTCGGACGAACACTTCGGACCATCGGTCAGCGCGCTGGAACGACTGCAGCTGCCGCGCGCCCTCGAGAGCTTGTGCGAGGCATTGAATGCGTCCATGGTGCCTACAACGATGTCGCTAGGACACTGCGTAACTGCTTGGTACAAGGCACGATGGGGTTTTATGGACTGGAGCACCTTCGGCGACTGTACGGCGTATCCTCAACGCGCTATCCTCTCAACGCCATCCTAGCGAGCTCCGGAACTCGCGCTTTAGCGATTTTTGGCTGAGCGGCGTCGACAACAGCCTGCAGCATTTGTACGTTCTCCAAACATCAACCATTTTGACCAAGTGTGGCAGAGTACTCGACAACTGCGTCTCGTACAGGGGCACCTACCCTCTCTCGCTATTTTTCAAAAAACTGCGCACCCTGTACGTACGAACCGTCGAGGTATCGGAGCTCTCACGTGCGTAGGGAGCTCGTAGGCGTGCACACGCCAATCTTGCGCCTCGAAGAGTCGTCCGAGCTGCGCTACTTGTACCCTGTTCTGTGGGTTTTATCCTGTTGAAACAACGGCGAGCGTAGTGTCTGTGACGACTGCGACGTACCAAGTGTCATGGTCGACAATTCCACGTACGCAGCGCTCGCAGCTCTTTCCCCGGCCTTGCCCAATGCCACCGAAGGCTACCGCGTCAACCGTATTCAGCACGACGAAGCGCAGTGCATGGCTGCACGTGGCCAAATCAAACGGCTGTGGGAAACCACCTCAGTCTGCATCCCAGATCGCAACCGGCCGCCGATTGGTACTATAGTTTGCGCCACAACCTTCTCGGATCCAGACGCATGTCCGCGCGTAGATACCAACTTTGGTTCGTCGTGGATGTACCCCTATACCACGTACATCTACCTCGGAGGCGCCGCTGTCCTTGGAGTCATCGTCCTCTTCTCTGTCTACGCGATTCGACGCGGTAGCCGCGCCGTCAAGATCCGTCGATCGGCCGACGACGACTACCTCGCGTCGACGCTGCGACCAAACGAGATGGCAACGCTCCAAATGCTCCAGATTGACGCCGACGCCATCGTTCTCTGCGGCACCAAGC